TCTCTCTCTCTCTCTCTCTCTCTCTCTCTCATCCGGCTGCACCTTTCCCACGACCCTCCCCTTTCGCACCGCTGCTACCCCCGCTCATCGCGCTGCACCGTTCCCACAGTGCTCCCGTTTGGCAGCCGTTTCGCAACGCCTGCGCCGCACCTGACCCGTCGGCCCCTTCTCGCCTGCCTCCTGCCATTTCGGCCCGCCTCACCTGCGTCGCGCCGTTTCGTTGGCCTCCCCGGCCCGCCCCCCTCGCACCGTCTCGTAACCTTCGTGCACCGTGTTGCTCGGCCGCTCCCCGCTCGGCCCGTGTGGGCCCGTTCTGCCCGCCCCTGTACCGGTTCACCAGTCCAGGTCGGCCTCCCGCGCCGCGGTCCCACTGCCCAGTCCCTGCCTTCTTCCGGTACCGGCCCGCTACCACGAATTTCGCTGGGCCCGCGACGGGGCATGTCGTCGGGCCCTTTGCTTGCTTTAGCAGTATAGAGATTTTTTCTGATTACATGGTCGTGCAGGGCTTGAGGAGAGCAGTGCAATCAAACTCGACTTATTCACACTTTGTCATGCATGGAAACAGCGGTACAGCAAACTGGAGACATGCGGCCACACAGTACTCAAAGATATCGTAACCAGATACGATTTCTCTTCAACTGGCTATGGCGGCTCTGCGCCCACACAACTCACTGTTCGCACTCTGAATCACCCTGGATGTCCCACACGCCACCCTCAATGTTCATACGCAACACACACACACACTGTACTACAGCTATGGCAGCGCTAGCTGCCACTACCCTATCGCTATACTACACTTCACTGCCCACTTCGACTTCGGGCGTACTGCAGACCTCCTCGCACAAGCTGCTGAGGCAGCGCTTCCGCATGGCATCCGCAGGAATGAATGAATGGCTGGACGCAGCCTCTTGATTTATACTTCTGCGCTGCGTTGGTCTGCCCCGTACCCCTTGGCCCACGATGTGCACACAGTCCCAGACGGTACTTGCTGGACAGGACCGGACTGACTAACTGGGACTATTGACTCAGCAAAGTGGTCTACCACCACTTGACCACTTGCCTCTGTTGAATGAAGGCCGACTCCGAAAGGCCACTTCTAGAAGTGTCTAACTTGGCCTTTCGGTACTGTAGCAGCTACGACTTTGCCCTTTCAGGTAAGTAGCAGCTACGACCTTGACTCCTCAGGCAGCCTAAAGCTACGACTTTGGAACTGTCTAGACTCCTACTCTATAGGTCTACAGTTCGATTCCCTTCTACCCTGTGACCTACGACAATTTGCCTACCACTGGCGTTCCTACAGGTCGCAGGTTCAAGTCTACGGGTTGACATTGATACTGTACACAGGTAAGACGGGGATCTAGGGATCGGGCCCTGGGATCTGCATGCGCTACCGCGAACTGGTGAATACCGTTTCACTCCCGCCGGCCTAAATTCGAGGTCCTTTGAGAAAATTTCAGTCCAAGGCAGGACCTTCACCCTTCTGCTGTCTCTCGTAGGCTCGGACTATAAGTTCAGATCTTGTAAACCAGCGGTCGTCTTCCGGTTCTTGATAGCTAAAATGAACCTTGTACTGTTTCTGTGGACGACCCCTACCTCCTGTTCTGAATACGTCTTCAGCCACTATGCCATCGATGTCATACCTTCCATCCATATCCGGTGGGATCATCGATCTACAGGATGGAAACTGATCACTTGTTTGACGAGGTAGTAACTTCGATGCGTGGAGAACTGGGTAAGTGTGGATGTGTGCTGGTAACTCTATGGTGTAGGACGATCCATCTTCGCCGCCCTTGACTTCCAGAACAGGCCACGGTCCTCTATATGTGGGCAGTAACTTTTGCGAGATGTTCTCCTCAGGTGCAAACTCTTTAGAACTGACCCAAGTCGCCTACTTGAAACTGTGAAGGGCGACGATGTTTGTTCGCCTGCTCTATCATCCTATGCTAGGTTTTCGTGAGGTTCTCCACGACAGTAGCTAGTTCTTTCTCGTGCTGTATAGCAAACTCCCTGGTCCCGAGCGGCAATCTGTGAATCTGATCCTGGTTGAGTCCTTCAAACGGTTTGCGCGGTCTAAAGGACTTGTGCAGTTCGTTGGGAGTGCGGCAGGTGGCTAGGTGCACGCTGTTGTTGTACGCACTAGCTACTTTAGGCAGCATCTCATCCCAGTTAATCTGATCTGGCCTAATGTACATGCGCAGAACTTGCTGTAGGATCTTGTTCGTTTGCTCTGTCTGACTGTTAGTCTCTGGATGACAGCCGGACGACATCAACAATTTAGATCCGTATACTCCCATGAGTTCTTGCCAGTTCTGGCTAGTAAAGCGACTATCTCTATCGCTAACTATAGACAGTGGGATTCCATTCTCGCTTACCCAACAATCAAAGAATCTCTGTATGACTAAATCAGTACGTGCCTCTGGAGGCAAAGGAACAAAAACTGGGTATTTACTAAATCGGTCGACTATGACCATGACTTGGCTCTTGCCATGCCTGCTCTTGACTTGAGTGTCCATGAAGTCGATGGACACTGAGTCCCCCGGCTGGTCCGGAATGGGCAAGGGTCTGAGAAGACCTAGCGGGGCGCGCGTAGAACTCTTGTTACGCTGGCAAACCTTACAACTGCGAACATACTCTACGCAGTCATTCTTCATCCCTGGCCAGGTATATGCGCGCATTAGGTTGGCTAAAGTCTTCTGCCAACCAAAATGACCCTCTGTGTCGTGGCATTCTCCCAAGTCAGACTATGGATCTCTTCGCTGTTGGGAATGCACAACCGGTCAAAGACATTAGTCTTCTCAAATAGCAATCCTTCAGTAGTGCGGTAGTTCGGCTCAGTCTCTGGGGCCTCTTTGACCTTCTTAAGGAGGTCACTATAGATAGGATCCTGCGCGTACGCTTCTTTAACCCTCTGCTGCAGGTCCTTCCCTATATCAAGATAATGCACTATCGCCCCAAAGTAATCAGCCCTTCTACTCAGAGCATCCGCGACTACGTTGTACTTCCCTTTGACAGGCTTGAGCTCGAAGTCGTACTGATCTATCTCTGCGGCCCACCTAGTAAGCTTAGGTGTCATCTTGGCCTGCGTCTTTAACCATCGTAACGTTTCATGGTCAGAATAGACTTTGAAGTGCCTCCCAAGCAAGTAGTGCTTCCAGTGGTCTAACGCTTGCCTTAGAGCGTAGAGTTCCTTCTCATAGGTAGATGTCGGGACCTTCTCTGAAGGCATCCTGGTGGACATGAACTCTACGGGTCTATACCCATTGCCATCGTCTTGCTGCAACACCGCGCCTATGCCATATTGACTCACATCGGTCGTGACGACAAAGGGCAAGGACGGGTCGGCGACTTTAAGGACTGGATACTCTATCAATGCCTGCTTTAACTTTTTCATGGCAGACGTGCAGTCCTTATCCCACTTCTAGATAGTTTCCTTCCTCAACAATCTGCGAAGGGGAGCAGCGATGGTGGAGAAGTTCCTTACGAACTTCCGGTAGTAATTAGCTAAGCCCAGGAACGAGCGCAACTCTGTCAGCGTACGTGGCGTGGGCCAATCTCTAATCGCTGCGATCTTGCTATCCTCTGGCTTAATGCCGTCTCCGTCTAAGACGTGGCCTAGGTACAAAACTTGGGTCTTTGCCCAATCGCACTTCTTTGCATTGATCTTGAAGTTAGCTTCCCTCAGCTTCTCCAAGACCTGCATGAGATGACCCTGATGCTCTTCAAGGGTCCGGCTAAACACTAGGATGTCATCTAGGTACACTACAACAAACCTGTCTAACCACAGCCTAAACAAATCGTTCATGCAGCGCTGGAACGTAGCTGGCGCATTGGTTAGTCCAAAGGGCATCACCATGAACTCGTAGTGCCCATATCTAGTTCGGAAGGCCGTCTTATACTGATCATCAGGATGCACCTCTATCTGATGATATCCGGACTTCAAATCTATCTTGGAGAAATACCTCGCCCCCTGCACTCGATCTAAGAGATCGTCTATCCTAGGCAGTGACTCAACATACTTCACAGTAATGGCATTCAGACCCCTATAGTCTATACACATCCTCAACTCTCCCTCTTTCTTGGGGACAAAGAGAACAGGGGCTCCAAAAGGAGACGAACTGGGCCTAATCCAACCCTTTTCAAGGAGCTCGTCCAACTGTTAGCTCCTCTAACTCCCGCGGGGACATCCTATATACAGCACCCTTAGGAGTTCTACTGCCAGGCTCTATCTCAATACGATGCTGGATGGGCCGCGGCACCGTGCCTGTCGGCGGCTTAGTCAAATCCTTAAACTCTTCCAGCAATTTGGCAATAGCAGGGTCTACGGGCTTCTCTTCCTTAGGCTAAGTGACTGGCCTAACATAGGCAACAAAGACCTGTTCCTCTAAGTGCTCCTTCTTCACTAATCTGGCGAACGCAGGAGCACTGAGGCAGCAATGTGCCAGTGAATTCTCTACTCCTGACACATGGAACAAGCGGGCAGTCTTAGCCTCGCCTGCAGCACTAGGGAGCCTACACTCGTGCTCCTTCAAATGGAGCGTGGCCCTGGCTGCCTCTCCCCAATCCATTCCCAAAACAATATCAAAGGGGAGGCTATCTTCTACGAGGAGAGTCAGGGAGTGGAGAATCTTTTCCACATTCCCATCTTTCTATAGGCGGAAATACGCCTGGACTCCCTCTACGTAATCCTCTACAACCATAGTGCGATTGTCCGCGAGGATACTAACTATAGGGTCTGCTAGCTTTTGGACTTCAAGTCCCAGCTTCAACTTCTGCAGCGCTTTCTTACTAATATAGCTGCGGGTGGCCCCTGAGTCTACTACGGCCCCTACTCTACCTCTAAAAATCTGTGTATCTAGTAATATAAGCTGCCCTTCATTCTCCTTTCTCATCTTCGCCCAGGCGGGCATCCTCTCCTTCAACTCTTCGGCCACGCCTGTGAGGGAGGTGTCTAGCGAAACTCTAACACAACCAGTTTCGGGACAGCCATCTAGACACCGGCCTGCAACCTCTGCCATAGGCACATGTGGTGTGGGAGTTTTCTGCCGGCTAGCGCTATGTTTCCCACATGGCCTAGTGGTAGGGGCAGTTGCTACCCCTACCAGCGGCTGCCTTTTGGCCCTTGAGCAGCCGTTCGGGTCTCTCGATACTCAGGACAATATTTGATGATGTGGCCCGGGTCACCGCAAAAAATGCACTGGCCCCGGTCCAATCGTTGTTGCCATAAGCTCTGGTCTAGACCCAAGGATTCCCAAGGCCTACCCTGCGGTAGCCCTGGGTGCCATCCTCCTACCCTATAGGGAGACCTGTTCCTAGGACGGTTTTGCGGGGGACCTTGACCCCTGCCTCCCGCTTGGCGGTTTCCTCCTCGGCCGCCAACCCCCTGATCGCCCTGAAACCGGTTCCCTGAGGCCCGGCCCCCTTGGCCCTGGCCTCGTCCTCCTTGCAGCCTCCCTCCAGCCACGACAGCAGCATAAGTCCTCCCCTGGCCCACACCGCTGTTACCTCCTCTAACTCCCACTCAATCTGGTCGTAGGGGATCTCATCCACACTACCCTCGTCTAGAGTTAGGACAAGGCTATTCTTAGTCTTCACTTGCCCAGAGATAGTGTGGCCCTTCCATTGCTTTCCCTTGTCCAAGTCTTTGTGCCAGAAGGTAGACACAGATGCTGACTTGGCTTCAAAGGCCACCACTTCACGACTAAGAGAATCATACGTAGTGGCCGGATCTTCGCTCTTCCCGAAGAAGTGCCCTCGCAAGGCTTCGGGGATAGCCCGGTAGAAAAGGCCGACCAATTGGGTGTCTGTGACCCCATGGTCAGGAACAGCGATTAATTCATCCATCGTGCTCTTGAGTGCCCTGGCATTCTTCCACTTGCGGGCGTGGATCGTCTGCAGCCTATCTGATGCTTCGACACTTCGAGCAACATCTGCAAATCGCTCGCGCAGCAATCTCATGAACTCAGTGAGGGAAGTAAATGCCGAATAGGCAACTGGATCGTCACTGTAGTTGGCAGCGCGAACAAGGGATCTTGCGAAACTGGCGGCCTCATCTCTAAGTGCGTGGATCGCAATTAGAACTTGCTGATCCTGGGAGACCTGTTGCAAATGCACGTAGGTCTTAACGTTGGCCTCCCAGTTATCAAAGTTCTCTTCCCTCTTCCCACTGTAGGAATCAGGGAATTTGACCTTGACTTGCTCTCTACGCAGCAGGCGTGGTTCCTCCTCCTTGGGAGCTGCAGCCTTGACGCTCTCAATGGCGCCAGCGCAAAATCGTTCAGTCTTCTCGAGGCGATGATGCACCTCGGATCCTATTGCGCCTACCAATTCGCGAGCAAAGTCTCGAAACCCCATTCGTATGGAGCGCAAGGCCATGTCCTGGCTTCGACTAAAATCGCACTGTTGTTCTTGTATCCGGGCTAAGCACTCGACAGTCTGGGCAATGAGTTCTACCTTTTTCTCAAGGTCTACCTAAGGGGTCAACCTCAGCGTTAGTTGCTGCATCTCCCCTAGGTCTTTGACCGCGTCAATCGCCGCGTCCACTTTCTTCTTCTTTTCCCTCATCACTCTCAGCTTCCACTCCATCCTCGTTTCATCCTCCATTGCCTGCCGCCTCACAACATCCCTTTCTGCTTCCCACTCCTTCATAGCGGCTTCCTGCTCGTCCTTGGGGATATACATGGCTACCGCTTCTTCTTCTCCCAGGGACAAGTTGGCGACCCACTCTGAGATTCGCTTCTCCATCTCATCATCTTTGCTACCACTATACTGCCCTCGCTGTTCTCTTCTCCTCTCCAGTGGCTGATCATCTTCTTCCTCTTCTTCTTCCACCTCCTTCAACTTTGCTTCCTCCTCTTTCTGTATCCTCTCCTTCTCTCTAGCCATCTCTTCTTCTATCTTCTTCAATTTGGCCGCCTGCTCCTCCTTCAAGGCTTTCTTCTTGGCCTCTTTCTTCTCCTTCCTCTCCTGCAGAATGGCGRCCATCTTCTCCTCCTCCTCCTTYGTGTAAGGGTTGGTGGAAGTACCACCACGAGTGGGCCCTACTCTACACGTGAAAGTGGGCCAGAAACCCAGAGGAAAGAGGAGACGCCAGAGGGTCCCCCAGAGAGAGAACCCAACCAGCAACCCATACATCGTATAGTCGTCCATTGTGGCGTCAGGTGCACGACAACGTCCCACTCCTCACCACTTAGACCTACCCGGACACACTGACCTACTGGCTAACTCTCTAAGATCCACTACTCACTACTACTCTAAGGCTGTCACTACTGAACCCAAAGCTGATCAGGAGGCATTTAAGGAGATCCCCCAAACTCTGCAAGAATTCTTTAACGTCGCAGACAGGACGACGTGATCAGCTTGGTTCCTCT